CTGCCTATTAAGTCCAAAACACCAATGTTAACCCTTGCAATATGAATCATGTATTTCAATCATAATGGGTTTATATACAAACCGAATAGACCACATCGCACCACAAAATAGAAAACAACATTTGTGAAAGGTGTAACCAAATATGTCTGCGAATGTGAGAGACTGTAATTAATAGACTGGATATAACTCAAGAAAGGTAAATCGTACAGCTTAAGTAAATGATTTCATTGAAAAGAACATTTTCTTCACTGAATTCTCTTTATTTTTAATTCAATGACCCAATGGGTTATTTTAATTAACCGATAAAGCTTTTAATATACATAGTTTAGTTACTTGACAGTAATAGATTCAGATTGAGATTTGTGTAGTAAGGACAGAAGGCCTAAGGTCTATGTTATTCCTTTTTCTAGTATGCTTCCGTGAGTGTTCAGTCTTCTCTTGAATGAGTCAATTGAAGTTGAGGACACCACTGTTTAGTGCAGCACATTCCAAATATTGATGACTCGGTATGAAAACCTGTATGTCACGGGTATTTTGTTCGTTCATGGCTTTTCTACTCGCCTGCTATGTCTTCAGAGATGTCCAGATACAGTGGGACGAAAAAGAGAGAATAAGTTAAGTCCAAAAATATATATGAATCGTGTTAGTCCATAGAAAGTTCTCAAAAGTTACCATTCACTATTCTCGTCGAGTTTGTCTGATAGCACATAAGACAGTTTTGCAGTTGCTTGTTTCTTTCTTTTTAAAATAAATATTTATTACTGTTTTATAAACTTAGATGAAAGAAGGACTTGACATGCATGACACTGATCACCACCCAGTGATCAATTAATTGTGATTACATCTCAGTCCTACAGGAGGTCGGTCGCTGCCCGAGCAGCTCAGTGATGGCGGTTTTGAATGTGAAGCTGAGTGACACGGGATCGAATCCGTCAGGGAGCACCAGTTCCCTCAATATTACAGGTACACCTTGTTGAAGAGTGCCAAGTAGCACGAAACCCGGGTCCAGAGTTTCCTGTTGACCACCTCCAACCACCATCTGATCTCAACATAGTACACGCAGTGTCAAGTCACCTAGACTAGTGGCCACATTGCAACTTGATCGATAGCATTCGATCAGCACTAAGAAGGACTTGACACTCATGACATTGATCACCACCCACTGACCAATCGATTGTGAAGATCATTACCCATATTCGTTTCAATGTGATTTCTTAGACTCAATACTCATTAGTAGTATGTTTATTCCAGGATCTTTAAATTGAAATCTATTTTATGGTGAATCATGTTCTGGAATACTTGCTATTCTAACAAGGAGTAAGATAATAACAATCAGTCAATTCATCTACAATTGTATAGAGAATATCTTCGATGTTGGGAAGATCCAATTTTCATAACATCATTCATATTAATGTAAGTATTTTTCCTAATTATGAAGTTTTATTGTTTATACATGTTACATAAACTACTCCTTGGTTTAAGAAGTATGAAGATTTCTTCCGTATTGGTCTCTGCAGACTCGATGACACTTCAAAAGTCAGAATACTTCTAAGAAAGCTGGGAACAACAGTTCATGAACGCTATAGTAACTTTATTCTTCCGAAGGACCCACGAGATTTTAGTTTTAACGAAACAATTCAACCTTGTCTCAAATCTTTGGAGAACAGTCGTCTCTATTTAATATCTGTTACCAGTGCTTGAAGATAACGAAAGAATCAGGAGATGATTGGGTAAAACATGCAGGTATTGTGAACCGAGAATGCGAGAGGTTCAAGTTGTCTTCCATGACTGAAGACCAGTTCAAATGCCTAGTATTTGTTTGTAGCCTGCGTTCACCTGAGGATGCTGACATCCGAACAAGAATTATGGAAGCTCTTATGCAGAAATTATGCATGTCCCAACAAAACTCTGCTTCTGCTGAATTACAACTATATCATACTGATTCAGTTATTAATGCAATCCATGAATTTAATTTTGATGGTGCAGCAGGTGTTACTTTTGACTAGCTTAGGATCCGAATATAGCGTTCAATCAACAAAACGTATCAGTAGCTTAAGGTTTTATGTGAGAAAGGAGGTTCGCTATTGACATTATGGATGGCTCGGCATTAATTTGGCAAGTTTTGCTGACTAACCATGTGCAAAATTGGTTTGCTGGTTAACCGATTTCAATCATACTAGTGGTTGCTTTTCAGTGTTTTCAAGGGTCATTGTCATTGGAACATTGTAAGGCATGTCGCCATTGCTAATAACAATGAGTTTGACTGTTGTGTAAGTGGAATGGATCAACGTTGGCCTGTTCATGCTGTGCATAATTGATTTACGCAATCATTGATCGAGATAATTATACATGTGATGTGAATGTGTATATAAATGGTTCAAATGGTCGACCAGGGTACATGGTACCTGTGTGGTTGTGCCACAGGATTGAGCTATACTATTCAGATTGTGACGTCGAAGCCCACACAGTGTCTGATTCTCTTATGGGGCGGGATTGAGCTATACTGCTCGGTTTGTCACGTGAATGTCTTGATGGTGTCTGGTTCTTTTGAAAACTAACGCGAAATTACCTTAGCCCACAAGAGTAATATTATATGATAATGATGATAATGTTACAATAAAAGTTTTTTTAGAATAAATCGCATAAACTTTTCAACTAACGAATCCGTATGAAAATCTCTAAATGAATAAAATTGTTTTTTCACGTGGAACATTTAACGAGTCTTTGTAATAAAAACATCACTATTTAGAAAACAAGGGATAGTAGGATACAATTTGCATGTCACTTGGATATTTTACAGATGACAACAATGATAAGAAGTTTGAGGAATTAATAGAATTAATTAAAGTTAGACTTGCACATCATTGGATTCCGGCCTAATGATCTGGAAGTTGAATGTTCTAATGAGAGAAGGAGGGCCTTTGGCTCGATTCCCAGATGAGAAGTAATGGATGAACATCTTTGAGGAATCTTATACTAGGACGGTAAGTATTTTCATAGTTGAAATCATGAGCCAATTGAAGCTAGACCACCATAGAAAACCTGGAAGCACTGAACGCCCGCTTCGTTCTATTATGAGACTCCTCAACAGTGCGCATCCAAGAGATCGCCTTGCGAGATTTGAACCCAGAACCTACCAGTCTCGTGGCAGACCACTTAACCGATAGACCACTGAGCAGGCATCTTATATAATAACTATTTAGCATATAACTTGATGAAAGACAACCAATATAATTTAATGTACTTGTCCATTTTATATTTCAGGAGTCTTGCTTTCATTTTTGGACTTGTAATAATGTTGGTCAATAAGTTACATAATCAATCTTTAATCAGTACTATTGTGACTGGATTTACAGTTAGTTTATTTTTATAGTGTTTTGTGTTTGTATAATACATTCCTTATGTAATACGATCATTGGAAACATAAATAATTTTATTATTTAAGTAATCCTTGTTACTAGGACTCTTACTACTGGCTTCCTAATCGTTTCCTATAACCCAATACTACTTATAAACATCAATTAAAACTAAAGGGAAATAACATGAAATGTATGTAAGCGCCTTGCTCCAAGTTTGATTCTGCACAGAAAACTACTTACTTACTTACTTACTTACTTACTTACTTACTTACTTATTTACTTACGCCTGTTACCCCTCGTCGAGGAGCATAGGCCGCATACCAGCATTCTCCATTCAACTCTGTTCTGGGTAATCCTTTCCAGTTCTTTCCAGTTAACATTCATCCTTTTCATATCTGCTTCTATTGCCCGGCATAATGTGTTCTTTGGCCTTCCTTTCTTCCGCTCCCCTTCCGGATTCCAAGTTAGGGATGGCCTTGTAGTGCATATATATATTTTAAAAAATCCATTCTCGAATTTAACTTATTTTAAATTCCGTTATTCACCAACGCAATTCAAGTCGATGATTATATATACAAGGATAAGCGACATGTATATTTCAATGAGAAACATTCATACGATCTCCTTGTAGTTAAATCCCTAGCCACGTAAACACTAATTTCATCTTACATTTTCCCTTTATTATTATTTGTTTACAATTAAATTCTTATAAGTAGAGATGGATAGTAGCTAGCAGTGGAATCCTAGACGTGAGTTTCATCCTATATGGGACTCGTCAGCTGGATATACCTGCATCTAAAAGTTAATGTTCACTCTGGGACTCAAACCCAGTACCTTTCAATTCAAACACCATCGCATTATTCATTTAGCTACTGAATCCTGATAGCCAGAGTGAACATCAACTCTGGTTTGCAGGTACATCCAGTTGACGAGTTTCAAATCGGAAGAAGTGTCGCACATCCTGAATTCCACTGCCAGCAACTATTCATGTTTGCTTCTAAAAGCTTGTGACTTCAGACAATATCAAAGCAGTCCGCACACGATGTACATATACCAATAAGAGACTAATCAATTACAGTCCTAAATAAGAAATAGGAAGATAAATGTAAATATCACTAAGTAAATTAAATTCTTGCTTCAAATTTACAATTCTATAACTTATTACATAGTTTTAAAGTTTTAATTATAATATATTTATCAGAAACTGATAGGTCCTGGACGAGAACCGTTGCTTTCAACTGAAGAACATCTGGAAGTCAAAACAATTGTCAACTAACATCAAGATTAGAATTTTCAATACAAATGTCAAGACAGTTCTACTGCATGGGGCGAAAACCTGGAGAACTACGAAAACCATTATCCAGAAGATACAAGTGTTTATTAACAGCTGTCTACGCAAGATACTTCGGATCCGATGGCCAGACACTATCAGCAACAAGTTACTGTGGGAGAGAACAAACCAGATTCCAGCGGAGGAAGAAATCAGGAAGAAGCGCTGGAAGTGGATTGGGCACACTTTGAGGAAATCACCCAATTGTGTCACAAGACAAGCCCTCACATGGAATCCTGAAGGTCGAAGGAGAAGAGGAAGACCAAAGAACACATTACGCCGAGAAATGGAGACAGACATGAGAAGAATGAACAAAAACTGGATAGAACTAGAAAGGAAGGAGGAGAACAGAGTGGGTTTGAGAATGCTGGTCGGTAGACTATGCTCCATTGGGAGTAACAGATGTAAGTAAGTAAGTAATGTAAAGATAGGTCCTGGATTTGAATCTCGTGGATGCACACTGCTGAAGAATCCCATAATAGGACGAAACAGTCGTCCAGTAATTCCAAGTTTTCCATGGTAGTCTACCTTCAATTGATTCATGATGTCAACTATAATCTATTTATTATATTTTGTCTTAATTTTCTTTCCTTGTTTTTAGGCATATCTATTAACTATTGGTGTTATATTATTTGGTGGTTTTATTGAATTATTAGATGCAATTATTATTCAAATTGTATCATTTCTATTAGGTATCATAGCTATTCTATTAAGTAATAATGTGAATATAATTAGTCAATTAAAACAAGAAATTGTAATATGGATTATCATACGTTTTGCAGTGGTAGGAATAATTTCACTCATTTTAACGATATTCTATGTAAGTTTTCTTTTTTTCTTTTCTTTTTTCTTCTTTTTTCTTTTTTTTTGTTAGAGTATAACATAATGTAACCATGGTAACACCTATAGTTTATAGAAGTTGTTTAAGTGAGGCTAAAGTGACCTTGAGAGTGTTCATCTAAGGGGTTATAAAACAATGCGAGGAATTAGAATGATGAGTAACAGTTAACGGTTAACGTTAGGAATTAGATTTAAGGTTTACATTATGAACTGATATTAGCTATAATGCCAAAACTCTATTTTAGTCCAATGGATGAATGAATTCCGCGCCAAAATCTGAGACTTGTTATCTTAAATCTGATTGGTTTATCCATAAATTATAGTCTTGCCTAGTTTTGGCTGTTAAAGCTATAAGATAAATAGAAATAGTAAGTATTTTATTTATTTATTCATGAGAACAACTAATTAGGAAGTGAGCAACTTGGTAACTTTCATTAAATCATAGACAAGAATAATGTTTTCAAATGCATAGATATACTACTACAAATAAATAAACAGTTCATTGAATTTGATTCACCAGGATGTTTAGTACCTGAGTGGTTGCGCCACAGGATTGGGCTGTGCTGTTCGGATTGTTGCATTGAAGCCTATATAGTGTCTGGATTTCCTATAGGGCGTTATTGAGCTGTAATGCTTGGGTTAAGCCTGGTCAGTGTCTGGCTCTCCTGTTAAACGGATTGAGCTGTACCGTTTGGATTGCCGCGTGAAAGTCTGGATTACCCTGACCCATAAGGGTATATTATATTATATAATTCATTGAATTTGTAATAGTATCATCATATTAAAAGTGATCATTTGCACAAATCTTCACATTTCACATGAATTTTTAGATGATCTTAGTCTATTTCTATCTATGGAACTAATGAACAACTGTTGAATTCAATAGTGTTCATATATAATTGTTCGCACAGAGAAGTGTTGTAATTTCTAATCATTTCAAATTAATTGGTATCAATTACATGGGTATCCAAACGCCCTGTTACGGTCGAGAGTGAGAAGAGTCCACTCTCCTTCTCCAAAGACTTTCATATAGCCACGCGTATACAGCTAATGCTAGAGGAGTCATATTCACTGCTTTCTCGAGTTGGAGGTGTCGTTTACGAAATCGAGAGGATGAAAAACAAATGTACGGTGCTTTAACCGAGTTGGTGGATACGTAAGATCCACCTAGGCGAGTTGGAAAATCCTCATTCCAAACCGATGGTGCACATGGGCTCCCGGATTCTGAAGGAACAAATGGCGTATGAACCTATTGTTGGTCACTGGTTAACATGAGACCGCATCTCCTGACGTTGCTCTACTGTTTTGTGGATCAGACCTTTAGGGCGAAGGCTCTGATTGTAACCGCGTAAGAAAACCATCGCCTTCGATCCGGACACCCGAGCAGTATCATAGTCCACACACAAATCACTTGATTTGTGTGGTGCGTATATATTTGGTGCCCTTTTTGTACCAAAATTTATGTCTTCAAATAAATAATAAATAAATAAAACAATTAATTTGATGAAAGAACTCAATCCAGTTTTGAAAGTTCTCCGTTCAAAGTGCATAAAATAACCATTGAATATTGATTTTCGATTATTTTGATGGAGTTTTGTTCACTGAACTGGATGGTTCGGTCGTGAAGCTTTCATCGTTCTTCTGAAAGACATCATCAGCACAAACTTCGATGAGAGGTGAAGTGTTTGGATTTCTCCACATGTGATTCACAGCTTGTCCTGTACACCTTGATATTGATTGGGTCTTGTTAACCTTAAATCTGTCATTGTTTATTACTTTGTTTTGGTTGTATATCCCATGGGTTTGCTATTTTGACCTTTTAGAGAGTATTCGGATCAATAACCTGCGTTTGCTGGTGTTGTGTAGTGATAATCGTAAGTTTTATTTTGAGTACAGTTATTGTTTAATGAATATTCATAGCATCGTCTAAAATAATCTGATGCAGATAGTTATTCTTGGCATTTACCTGAATCAAATTGAACATCTATTTCATTGAAATCATGAATCGATCAATGTTAAACCATAATCAAAAACCTGTAAGCATTGAACGGCTGTATTGTTTTCATTTGAGACTTCTTAGCGATACTCATCCACGATCCTGAATGAGGCAATCGAACCCAGATTGTTTAGTCTCTCTTGAGAACGCCTAACCTTCAGACTGTGGTGTGGTCTACTTATATCCACATAAGTAGTATATGGTGATGGTCAGACATAGAATGTATTTCAGCAGAAGATAGATAAGGAAAGAACTGAAATGAAGCGCGATTGGTAGGAAATGCATGAACAATGAAATCAGAGAAGACGGACTGATATTTGCAGAAGAAACAGTTAAGATTGGGACAATGGCTTGTTATTTTGCAAATTAACTGCTCACTGTATGGTTATCAGAATTTAGTGAGATAGTCTGTAATTTGTGCTTAAATATATTCGATTGCCCTCACTTGTGTTCTTGTTCACTACAAGTCAACTGACCAACATCCGACGGTTTTAATGTCAAATTTCAATCAGTCCACAATACTACATGACTATCTTTCATTATCTTCGGTGAGTAACTGCCTCATACTATTTATCTCCATTTCAGAGTATTCCCCATATTGTGATGAAACAATCATCCAGTTCTTTCAGATTTCCAATTATGGTCTAACATTGATCGATTCGTGATTTTATTGAACTAATCTAAGGAATTTATAGTGTTTTTTCTTCTAAAAAAAATTATTTCAATATTATTTTAACAAATCATTATTAATTTTACATTGTTGAGATCATGAGTCCATTGAAGCTAGACCACCATGAAAAACCTAGAAGCACTGGACGGCCGTTTCGTTCTATTGTGGGACCCCTCAGCAGTGCGCATCTACGATCCCGCCCCGTCAGATTCCAACCCAGGACCTGTTTGTCTCGCTCGTGAGCGCTTAACTTTTAGACCACTGAGCCAGCATCCAACGGCCGTCTAGTCTTTCCAGGTTTTTCATGGCGGTCTAACTTCAATTGATTTATGATCTCAACTATAAAATTACTATCATATCCCCCAAACCCCCCATTGTGATATAAATCATTATTATTTCTTTTAATTATTACAGGCAATTTTAGACACTCCAATTATGTTAAGATCACAAACTGAGATTAAACAATATCCAATAACATTTAAAATATTTGTGAATATATACGAAGTTATGTTATTGTATTTATTGTTGATGCTTTCAATTGCATTTATTAAACGATTAAAATGTAATAAAGAATAAATGAATAGTAACTTACTTACTAACTTACTTATGCCTGTTATCCCTCGTGGAGGAGCATAAGCCGCCCACCAGCATTCTTCATCCAATCCTGTCATGGGAAATCCTGTCATGGGAAATCCTTTCCAGTTCTTTCCAATTGTTATACATCTTTTTCATATCTTGTATAGACAATTGTTTATAAATACTTGTACCTTCATGAAGATGGTTGTAATAGTTCTCCAGGTATCAGATCCGTACAGTCGAACTGACTTTCTTAACGTTCGTATTGAAAATTCCGACTATTATATTGGTTAAAAGTTGTTTTTAGTTGCATATATTCTTCAATTGTAGAAATGCTGTCCTTGCTTTGCCAATCCTCGTCTTTACATCTGCATCCGATCCTCCTTGTTTATCAACGACGCTTCCCAGGTACGTGAATGTTTCCACCTCTGACAGAGTTTCGCCATCAAGTGTGATTGGGTTGGTGTTCTCCGTATTGTATTTGAGAATCTTGCTTTTTCCTTTGTGTATGTTGAGGTCTACTGATGTAGAGGCTGCTGCTAAATTTGCTGTCTTTATCTGCATTTGGTCATCTGTATGAGATAGGAGGGGTAGGTTATCTGAGAAGTCCAAATCATTTAATTGATTCTGAGATGTCCATTGTATTCAGTGCTTCCCTTCAGATGTCGAATTCTTCATAATCCAGTCAATCACTAGAAGGAAGAGGAATGGGGAGAGTAGACAGCCTTGTCTGACTCCAGTCCTTACTGGAAATGCATCTGTGAACTGTCCTCCATGCACTACTTTGCACTGTAGTCCGTCGTTTGACTTTCGGATAATGTTGACAATTTTCTCACGAACTCCATAGTGTCGAAGAAGTTTCCATAAACACTACTTGTACTAATACTGTGGTGTGGTCTACTTATATCCACAAAATTAATATATGGCGATGGTCAGACAGAATGTATTTTGGCAGAAGATAGATAAGGAAAGAACAGGAATGAAGCGCAATTAGTAGGAAAATGCATGAACAATGAAATCAGAGAAGATGGACTGATATTTGCAGAATAAATAGTTAAGATTGAGAATATTGATTGTTATTTTATGAATTAACTGTTGACCGTATGGTTATCAAAATTGTGAATTGAATTGCTCGTCTAGAACTACTGCTGGTCTCAAAATCAGGTAAGTGAGGAGGATTGGAAATGTGGTCAGCAACCCTATCCTGTAGAAAACAATTTTGCTAAAAATACACTAACCAGCATAAACAAATCAAATCATTTATATTCTGTCCTGGGAGTTAAAAGAATTGTTATGACGCCTAATGGCGGAAGCCAAAATTCTTCGGAATTCAAGAGGCTGATCTATTTTCTAACAACCAGAGTAACAAATTTTCTATAGGAAGCATAACGAGTGAAAATCCTTGAAGATACACATTTGTATATCAAAAACGTTTTTAGTCTCTCTCATTGTATAAGCTACAATATGGAGATAACTTAGTAAATATTGAGTTCGAGAAAAGTCATTTTTGTTCTCATATTCATCAAAATGAGCCCAATTTAAGACCCTAATTAGTCAATTTAGTAAAATCAGAATTTTAGTGTATTTTTCAGGCATTATATTATTTTACACCCGTTAATTCATCTTAACATTATTAAATCGATTTGTGGCATTGAATTTGACAATTTTTTGATTGAGATCATTAATCGATCAATGTTAGACCTGTAAGCATTAGACGACAGTTTCGTTTACGCTCGGGACTCCTTAGCATTACTCATTCACGATCCCGAAAGCAGTAATCGAACTGAGGACCTTCGGTCTTTCCTGGGAACGCTAAATCTTCATATCGCTGATCGAAATCCAAAAGTGTTAGTGCCCAACTTTCATTAATCCATGAATGATTGCGCAATCATCCATCGATTGTCTGAGGTAGATACCTGTGAAATGTCCATGTCTCATTAGATAAACTCGTAGATACTTTGCATGTATACTCAGTGCTATAGGGAAAGGTTGAGATGCTAATTTGAAATTTAGATTTCCTGTCTTATTTTTCAAAGCTGAATGAGTTATCTACTACTCAAAATGGTATTTTGTGTTTAAATGATCGTGCTGTTATTCCTCCTTCATTACGTAAATCTGTCCTTGATTATCCTGATAATGGACATTTAGGTGTTGAGAAAATGAAATCCTTTGCAAGGCTTTCATGTCGGTCGCCGGAAATAGGTACAGACATACATCGTCCATCAAACAATTGTGCAAAATTTCATAATTTGAAAAGTGAACGTTCGAAATAGACTCCATGGTCAGTATCGTTTGAGGCCTGGGAGAGAATTCATGCAGACAATTATGGCCCATTTCTTGACAAATACTATGCACTTCTAGTCATTGATTCTTTTCTTAAGTGGCTTCAAGTTCTTTTCACAATTTCACTCCCGATTGGTGCTACATACTACTCATATCTGTTCACATACGAGGCGCATACTACAATATCACCACATTATACACAGAATTATACCAAAGAAATCTTTAAACATTGATAATCATTAAACTTTATAGGTTAGTTTGTTTATATTTCAGTAGTATCTATCCCATCAACATACAAATAAGGCGTGTGATACATTTTCAAGATAGATTTATCTAAACTTATTTATAATGACATGGTGCTGAATGGAATATTGCCAAAGTACTACATTCAACGTGGAATTTGGCGAAGTTTTCAACTAAGTAATATAAAAAAACAGGAGATACACATCAAACATCAGTAAAGATTTGTCTAAGTTGCTTCATGCATATAACTGTTTGGTTGACATCATTTCTTTTCTTTTCAATCCCACTATATATATTGGTTAGATCTACTCTACACAGTCGTTCTGTATACCTAGATGTCTACCTACTCTTAAAAATAATATAATTTCAGAGGATATTCGCAGTGTGAAAATTACTGCTTTTGTCATTGTTTAATATCCTGTCTCAATTGTACAGCCTAATATTTAATTTTTATATATGTTCATATTAGTCTTCCTACGGAATAATCTACACCTTCATAATGGTCTTTTGATGCATTGCTTAAAGATTTGATGAATAATAGGAACTTTCAGATAATGAAGTACTTAATCACATCAAATCTTTGAGTTATCTTTTCTTCTTATCAACAAGGATATTCAGCGTTTGTCTGGGTTGTTTCATGTTAAGAAATTCGTGACAGTTTCTTAATCATAGTTGGAAGCATGAGTCAATTGAAGCTAGACCACCAAGGAAAAACCTGGTTTACTTCTTCTCATCCCTATAGTATCATGTAATGATATTACAATGAATGAAAATCTTTAATAGAAACGGAATCAAACTTTTGTATTTTAGATCAATCATCACCATCATCATCTTTTGTGTTTTTGTTTTTTTTAATCGCTAGTTACCATAGTAACCACACTTCAATGTGATTTGTTCAATATCTAAGGTGGTTATTAATATAAACAAATATAATGTGATCATTTCAAATAGATTTATAAAACCAATAAAATAAGATGAATATTCTGTGGATTCTTTATTAATAGAGAAATAATATGGAGTGAATATTATTGCCTATAAGGAATAGAAAAACCAATGAAATAAACAATATTTCATCATTGAACAATCAAAAAAATTAGGGGGATGGTTAATTACTTACTCGCGCGGGCGAGATTGATAGGTCCTGAGTTCGAATCTCAATAGACGGGATCGTGGGTACGCAATGTTGAGGAGTTTTACGGCAGGACGAAACGGCCATCCAATGCTTCCAGGTTTTTCATGATGGTCTAGCTTCAATTGATTCATGATTTCATCTATTGAAATTAATATCATATTCACAACAATCCTTTCTGATATCACTCAGACATTCCTTGATATTAAGGGAGAATAGAGTTTTATGAAAACCAAGTTTTATTGGGGGAAATATTTGATTTCTTAAAAATAACTGATCAGATAAAGTATTCTATATCAACTAGATGTTTTTATACTTTTGCTTACTTACACCTGTTACCCCTCGTCGAGGAGCATAGGCCGCTCACCAGCATTCTCCATCCAACTCTGTCCTGAGCCTTCCTTTCCAGTTCATTCCAGTTACTATTCAGCCTTTTCATATCGGCTTCTATTTCCCGTCGTAGTGTGTTCTTTGGCCTTCCTGTTTTCCGCTTCCCTTCCGGATTCCAAGTTAGGAATTGAGTCGTGATGCACATTGGTGATTTCCTTAATGTATGTCCGATCCACTTCCAACGTCTTTTCCTAATTTCCTCTTCAGATGGAAGTTGGTTTGTCCTCTCCCATTAAATGCTGATGCTGATAGTATCCGGTCAATGGATGTTGAGTATTTTGCGTAGACAACTGTTTGTAAATACTTGTACCTTCCTGATGATGGCCGTAGTAGTTCTCCACGTTTCAGCTCCATACAGTAGGACTGACTGTCATGACGTTCGTATTAAAGAATGTGGCTTTGGTATTGGTTGAGAGTTGTTTTGAGTTCCATATGTTCTTCAATTTTAGAAATGCTGTCCTTGCTTTGCCAATCCTTACCTTTACATCTGCATCCGCATCGATAGGCCTCCACATTCAAAAAGGAAAAAGCAAGATTCTCAAATGCAACACGGAGAACACCAACCCAATCACACTTGATGGCGAAACTCTGGAAGAGGTGGAAACATTCAAGTACCTGGGGAGCATCGTTGATAAACAAGGAGGATCGGATGCAGATGTAAAGACGAGGATTGGCAAAGCAAGGGCAGCATTTCTACAATTGCAGAACATATGGAACTCAAAACAACTCTCAACCAATACCAAAGCCACATTCTTTAATACGAACGTCAAAACAGTCCTACTGTATGGAGCTGAAACGTGGAGAACTACTACGGCCATCATCAGGAAGGTACAAGTATTTACAAACAGTTGTCTACGCAAAATACTCAACATCCACTGGCCGGATACTATCAGCAACAGCGTTTTATGGAAGAGGACAAACCAGCTTCCAGCTGAAGAGGAAATAAGGAAAAGACGTTGGAAGTGGATCGGACATACATTGAGGAAATCACCAATGTGCATCACGACTCAATCCCT